AGACAAAAGCCAGATCAGAAGAAACAGAGAATAGAAGAGAAATGAGCAGACAAGGGGAAATGAAGGTGGCTGAGAGCAGAATGAGTGATTTTCTCTCAGGTTCAGGTGAACACACACATCTCTTCTCTCTGGGGATGACAGATCTGGATCAGCATGTACTTACTTCTACACCAGTCCCAGACTATTTCAACAGTTATACCTTAAATGTCCTGTGTACAAATATATATAAACAATAAAATGAAAAGGGAACTATATCCACAAGGCCCATGACAATTGTTTCCAAACTATCTGAGGCTTTTCCATTGATTGCACAGTGCAAAATTAGTCAAAGTTATCCGTCACTTATTCACACACCCACACACACACACACACACACACACACACACTCACTATTGGTGGGTTTCCGTGTTATATGGGGACTCTCCATAGGTGTATTGGTTTTTCTACTGTACAAACGGTATTTTCTATCCCCTTACCCTAACCTACACCAACCCTTCACACAAAACTACAGACATTTTTAGATTTTCAAAAAACAAACAAACACATTCTGTATGATTTATAAGCTGTTTCCCACATGGGGACCAAAAAAAATGTCCCCACAAGGTCAACATTTACTGGTATTTCTATCATTGTGGGGACATTTGGTCCCCATAATATAGGGAACACCAGGCATACATACATACACCCACCCCCACACAAACACAAATTTACGTATTTGAATTGCATATAAAATTTCAGTAACACTCTACTATAGGGACCAGTTCTAACTATTAACTAGTTGCTTATTAGCATGCCTATTATTAACATATTGGCTGTTTATTAGTACTTATAAAGCACACATTCTGCATGACCACATTCTACACATTAACTAAACTTAACAACTACCTCACTAACTATTAATAAGCAGCAAATTAGGAGTTTATTGCTGGCAAGAATTGGAACTTAAAATAAAGTGTGATCAAAATTTCCATCCAGTATTACAGTTTTAACACCTCAGGTGAAAAGGGTAAAATAGATCTCCCCATACTTTCCCCAAATTAAATATGCAAATGAGGCCATGTCTCAAATTATCACAATATGCGCACATTTGCATACATTTTGAGAACAAACATCTTTTGGGGGGGATGAAATGAAAAAAAGGAATGAAAGGAATGAAAAAATATGAAAATAGTTTTAAATGGCTTGACGAGTTCAGTTTTCAGTACATGTTTCCTATTAAAACAGAAAGTTTGGATGGGATATGTCAATGTCAATATGTGTAATTAACTGCAAATGATTTTGTCAAATGTTTCTTTGTCAGGGGAACACAAACATATGATTTCTGTTGCTCAGACAGTAATGCATGACACTATCAACACCAAGTTTATGGGTTTGATTCCCAGAGAATACATGAACTAATGAATGTACACTTTGGATGAAATGTGAGTCACTTTGGATAAAAGCATCTGCCAAATGCATGGATGTAAATGTATTTTTTTAGAGCAATACAGTGCACTGCCTGTGAATGCCTACAGAGGACTGATCTTCTGTGTGTTTCTCTGCTCCAGAGCTTTGTGATCTGGTCTGTGAAGTCCAGGATCTGGGGAATAGAGCTCAAGCTTCCACAGGCTCAGCACTAACGCTAGACACACACACACACACACACACACACTGTATCCTTGTCATTCGGTGAAGGACGTGGGCACAGCGAGCAAGGCTGTGCATCTCAGGTCTGTCTGTGTGTTCAGAGGTAAATCAGTGAGGCAGTAATTTTGGGCCCCTGGAGCTCCAGCTGACACTTCATGCTGTCCGATACAGCACTGCACACACACAATCCCAGACAGAGATGGCCAATACTATGGGATACACCATATATATGGTTGATATATTGAATATTCCTGATATATACTGTAGTGGTCGACCGATATATCGCCACTGCCGATATATCGGCCGATATTTGGCATTTTTCAAATATTGGCATCGACCGATACGTTTTTCTGTTTAGCCGATGCATTCGAGGCGGGACTTTTATTTTGACAGAACACCGTACGTTTATTGTGATGGCGCTGAGAACGGCAGCGCCTGAGCACACAGTGCTCACATTCTCCCTCTTGTTCACCGTCGTCGTTAACAGTTCTGTCTAATACGGATAGAAGTCTGTCTAATAATCCGATAGCACTGTTAAACAAAGGAATTAAAATGTATACAAAAAACGATTGCTTTTATATTATTAGTAATAGAAAGGCAAACATAACAATACTTTCTCGTTTGCCGTCAGCATTCAGCAAATATGCATTTATATAATTTAAACAAATCTTTGAATTGCTAATGAAAATGTAATTTCACAAACCTTGCAAACTTAGTCGAATCCAGTTGTGAGATCTTGTGAAGTGTGCATGTGACCTGCACGATCGCGTGTTCTCTGTGTGACGATCGGTCTGTGCAAATTGAATGCTTTAAACATTAAATTCGTGATTTCAAATTATGCTGCGCTTTATGCATTTGCCCACTGCCATATTCATGTGTGTTCACTGTGTGCTGTATGTAAAATTAGTGTTATGTTTATTTTACAAATTTATTTTTTAATCCATTTTCAAATGATTTCAAATTTCTTAAATATTAATTAAAATAAATACAATTATATCGGCTATCGGCCACCCTTCTTTCCAAGATATCACCATCGGCTGTCAAAAAACCAATATCGGTCGACCACTAATATACTGTATACAGTGGGGCAAAAAAGTATTTAGTCAGCCACCAATTTTGCAAGTTCTCCCACTTAAAAAGATGAGAGAGGCCTGTAATTTTCATCATAGGTATACCTCAACTATGAGAGACAAAATGAGAAAAAAAATATCCAGAAAATCACATTGTAGGATTTTTAAAGAATTTATTTGCAAATTATGGTGGAAATGGTGGCTCAATCGAACTGAAAAATCTCTATGTAAACATCTCAATTGATCCGACTTAGTTCAATCAGACTGAACTTGATTGGATTGGAAGGAGTGGTGTAGAATTTAAATAATCAGATTTAACAGAAAACGAAAGCACTTAAATGCTTGAATGTGACTATTTTCCCAATACACTCTTAAAAATAAAGGTGCTTCACGATGCCACAGAAGAACCTTTTGGTCTAAATGGTTCCATAAAGAAACTTTAACATCAGAAGAACCTTTCTGTTTCACAAAAGGTTCTTTGTGGTGAAAGAAGGTTCTTCAGATTATAAAAAGGTAAGAAAGAGATGTTCTTTAAAGAACCTTTGACTGAATGGTTCTTTGTGGAACCAAAAATGGTTCTTCTATGGCATCGCTTGAAGAACCTTTTGAAGCACCTTTATTTTTAAGAGTGTAGACTGCTGCAGCGATAACATATTTTTTGGAAACAGCTTCTCTTTAGTATTTCTGGTTCTGTGTTTAGCTTTTTACTTCTGCCAGTTGCATTTAGCAAAATTCATTAGTTGTGTTCATTTGTGAAGATCATATTGGACAAAACATGCAAGAATCATAAACTTTTGTTGGTCACAGAGTTTATGTTCTGCAACAATCGAAAAGCCAATGGAAAATTCCTATTGGGTTTTTGTTGAGAGGATTCAATTCAAATAACTATATTGTGAGTGACTATACTATATTTTGCTTGTCTGTCCTGCACTAGTCTCAGAGAAACTAGAAGCTACAAAGAATCTACTTTGCCAACTAATGGCTGGAATACATTACAGTGCAGGGTTTTAGCTCAGATGTTTGCACCAATTTCCAGTTTGGGGCAAATCAAGTTGCCGCAAGTTAGTTTGGACAGTCATGAAACTCAAAAAGAAATGGAGATGGTGAACAAGTACAAAAAGTGAAGCTTCCATCTTTTTAAGTGGGAGAACTTGCACAATTGGTGGCTGACTAAATACTTTTTAGTCTTATACTTTTAAACTCAGCATGTTTACATGCACCCAAATAACCCATTTATTATCAGATTGATGGCTCAATCGAACTGAAAAATCTCTATGTAAACATCTCAATTGATCCGACTTAGTTCAATCAGACTGAACTTGATTGGATTGGAAGGAGTGGTGTAGAATTTAAATAATCAGATTTAACAGAAAACGAAAGCACTTAAATGCTTGAATGTGACTATTTTCCCAATACACTCTTAAAAATAAAGGTGCTTCACGATGCCACAGAAGAACCTTTTGGTCTAAATGGTTCCATAAAGAAACTTTAACATCAGAAGAACCTTTCTGTTTCACAAAAGGTTCTTTGTGGTGAAAGAAGGTTCTTCAGATTATAAAAAGGTAAGAAAGAGATGTTCTTTAAAGAACCTTTGACTGAATGGTTCTTTGTGGAACCAAAAATGGTTATTCTATGGCATCGCTTGAAGAACCTTTTGAAGCACCTTTATTTTTAAGAGTGTAGACTGCTGCAGCGATAACATATTTTTTGGAAACAGCTTCTCTTTAGTATTTCTGGTTCTGTGTTTAGCTTTTTACTTCTGCCAGTTGCATTTAGCAAAATTCATTAGTTGTGTTCATTTGTGAAGATCATATTGGACAAAACATGCAAGAATCATAAACTTTTGTTGGTCACAGAGTTTATGTTCTGCAACAATCGAAAAGCCAATGGAAAATTCCTATTGGGTTTTTGTTGAGAGGATTCAATTCAAATAACTATATTGTGAGTGACTATACTATATTTTGCTTGTCTGTCCTGCACTAGTCTCAGAGAAACTAGAAGCTACAAAGAATCTACTTTGCCAACTAATGGCTGGAATACATTACAGTGCAGGGTTTTAGCTCAGATGTTTGCACCAATTTCCAGTTTGGGGCAAATCAAGTTGCCGCAAGTTAGTTTGGACAGTCATGAAACTCAAAAAGAAATGGAGATGGTGAACAAGTACAAAAAGTGAAGCTTCGGCATAAATGCTGCTCACCTCCAACTTAAAATATCCCAGCCATAACACAAAAAAGACACCAAACACGTGTCTGCCTGTGCTTAAATGAGTCAAAAAATGAGGAGTAAATATGATGTGCTACTCACTATCAGCCGCTTGAGACCGAGGAAGTTCTGCTCCACTGAGCTGGCCGAGAGCACCTGTCTCTTCATAGCTGCCTGGTCGCCCAAAACACGCTGCATGAGATCTTTCACCGCATCGCCCTGTAAACCAGAGAGCTTCAGTTTCTGCTTTACTCACTGTTACATAGAGTTAAAACACCAAGAGCAATGAAAAGTGACTATTGTCTTCGCTATATCTTAGTTAACTAAAAAAAGTTTATTTATTAAATATTTTATTTACTGCAAGTTAAAGACCTGAAAGTTTGTTTGTTTGTTTTTATAAAAATACAGTAAAATAGTAATATTGTTAAATATTCACATGATCCTTCAGAAATCATTCTAATATGCTGATTTTCTGCTCAAGAAACATTTCTGATAATTATTAAAAACAGTTATGCAGACAAATATCTGGACCCACTTTATATTAAGTGGCCTTAACAACTATGTACTTACATTTAAATTAATAATTTGGTACAATGCACTTATTGTGTACATACATGTTTTTACATTGTACTTATATTTTAAAAATATCTGCATGTAATTACATCTGTAATTAATTTCTGTAATTACATTTATAATTACACAGTTGACCCATCCCTTACACCTTAACCCACCCTTAAACCTACCCATACCGACAAACCTGTCCCTAATCTTACCCGTATGCCACCTCAATAGCAGCAAATGTGTTTTGCAATACAATATGAACACAATAAGTACATTGTACTTAATTTTTGATGTAAGTACATAGTAGTTAAGGCCACTTAATGTAAAGTGGGACCAAATATTTTTGTGGAAACCGTGATACTTTTTATTTTTATTTTTTACTTTTTATTTTTTTTTGATGAATAGAAAGTTCAAAAGAACAGCATTTATTTGAAATGCAAATATTTTGTAACATTACAAATGTCTTTACTGCCACGTTTGATCAATTTACTTCATCCTTCCTGAATAAAATCTTCAATTTCTTGAAGAATGGTAGTGGCTAACATATTTCCTACTAAAACAGAAAGCCAGAAAGCATTAGTTATGCTAGTGTACTCCTGAATCTAACATATCAGCCTAACTGGCATATAATGGACATGGACTAAAAGGCTCAAAACTCTCATGCAGTCTTTAAAGGAGCAGTTCACTTAAAAAAAATAAAATAAAAAATTATACTACATGACTAGAGAAAACAGACAAAAAAGTGCTTCGGTGTTCCCTTTCGCTATAAAGCTAAATTCGTCACCCGTAATGCACTGTGCTCGATCCAACTGTCTGAGAGCAGAGATACAAAAATACGATCTCGAGTTTTCACAAAAGCCCTGGGGGTGTCAAAAAGTCACCGGGTGATGTGTTTTATATCATCTGCTCTGTTAAAAACAATGTTTTTAAAATGCGGTTTAGCAGAGATGCCATGGAATAACCATTTTGGGTTCCTCAAAGGACCTTTCAGTGAAGGGTTCTTCAAAGAACCATTTTTATCTTAGTGTGAAGGACCTTTTAATCATCTAAAGAACCTTTTTCCACAACAAAGTTTCCATGGATGCTAAAGGTTCTTCTTGGATATACACATTGTTCATTTCTATCCACTATTGACTAGAGTTGCAAAAAGGTGGAAAATTTCCAGTAAATTTCGGAAACTTTCCAGGATTTGTTTGGAATATTCCAGGGATTTTGGAAAGTTTCCGGAAACTTACCGGAAATGTTCCACCCCTTTGCAACCCTACTATTGACACACAATACAAAGCCTGTTAAAGACTGGCAAAGATAGCCATTCATAATGACGCAAAATTCATTTTTGGGTCATTTGAAATTTGAAAATGTAATTTTGCACTGACCTGTAGGTTGTCAAACTTGAGTCCAGGCATGGCCAGCTGCTCTCTGTCTATCTGGACAGGACTGATCTGCTGTGTGGCCACCGATATCAGCACTTTCCTGGTGTCGTCTGAGGGAAGCCAGGCGTCATAGCGCTTGTCCAGCTCGCTGGTGATCAGAGCGCTTCCGAAGGGGTCGTCGCCGCTCGGGAACACAGTCTGGAGCTGGCTCATGGGCTCTACGGGACTTCCTTGAGGTTTGGTAGCGACGGGGGTGAAGTACGTGCCCGCAGCGGTGGGAGCAGATAAGAGAGGAGACTCTGGAGGGGCGGCTGCTTTGGGCGACTCTGCGTTTGGGTTGCTGATTGATATGAAAGACGTGGACGTTGTGAAAGAATCGAAGAAGTCTGAGGCGGGGTTGACCGCGCTGCTATCCGTGAAGAACTTGCTGAGGCTGGGGCTCGGCTGGCACACTTGAGGGACCAGTTTGTTGGGGGTTTCTGTGTTGCCGATGGTGAAACTTGGAGATTTGACCAGCGTGGGCTGAAAGCCGTCGGGAATCAGGGCTTGTGCTTTGGGTTGCACACCACGATTAAAGATGGTACACACCGGGACGGCCTCATCTTTGGGGGGCGTATCCGTATCCATCTCAAGCGCTGTATCCTGAGTTTTGGGAGCCTCTGGTTTTGGGTCGTCCGGTGCAACATTTTCCCTTTTGTCATCCACCTGCACGATCTTCTCCTCCTCGTTCTCTTCTTTAAATAAAGCCTCAGATGCCTCCTCAGGTTCAGCAGCTCTGGCTGTGCTTACGTCTTCGTTTCTTTCTTCTGTATCTCCGTCAGGTGTTTTGGCCTCCTCCTCTTCATTCTGCTCCAAAAGCGAGTCAATGGGAACCACGTCCTCTTCCTCGCTATTCGGGGAGTCCGAAATCATCACGCTCTCCATCATCTGGTCATTCAGCTTGCCTAGCAGGCTCTCAGAGTGACTGCTGTCATCCTGCGGCGAAACAAACGCTTCGGCGTCCAGGTCGATGCTCTCCTCTCGGAAAGAGTCTTCTGTCGGGTCGGTCTGGGACGGGACGGAGGCCTCTAGCGTCTCAGCTGCTCCATCTATCGCCAGAGTAACAGGCCTCTGGACTGGACCTTCACTGCTGTCCATGACTCCAGCCTGGATGTTCCCTGCGATCCCAGTTCAAACAAAACAGAAATCAATGATTTAGGATAAACGAGTAATAAGTAAATTATAGTTATATAAGCACCCTTGTGAAAAAGACGGACACTTTAGCATACTTATTGTCCAAATGTGACCCTGGACAACAAAACCAGTCCGTTTTTTGAAATTGAGATTTATACACCATCTGAAAGCTTTCCATTGATGTATGATTGGTTAAGATCGCAACTAGAACTATTTGAAAATCTGGAATCTGAGGGTGCAAAAAATTCTAAATACTGAGAAAATCATCTTTAAAGTTGTCCAAATGAAGTTCTTAGCAATGCATATTACTAATCACAAATTAAGTTTTGATATATTTACGGTAGGACATTTACTAAATATCTTCATGGAACATGATCTTTACTTAATATCCTAATGATTTTTGGCATAAAAGAGAAATCTATAATTGTATAACATATTTTATATTTATATATTATACATATATACATAATTATATATAAACATATAATCTACATTAAAATATATACTTTAGGAGACTTAATTGCATGTTAACTGCAAATACATGGAAAAGTATTATAGTTTAAATGTATATTCAGAGTGCTTTTGAGAGCACAGAGTGCAATGACATTTTTCTATAGTTCACATAATATTTAAGGAAACAGTCACTTATCGAAATACTATAATACAAATCAAAAGACTAAATAACAAATGGACAAATAACCTGTACGCTTTTCTGAAACAACACCATTTATACTTTTCTTGTTTTTTCCCCCTAAACAATAATAAATATGATGATGCATATCAATTGCGCCCCTGCAATCATAATATAAGTAACGTTAATGACAGAAATCCAAAATTAGAGAAATGTGATAAAAATGCAGTTTATCGATAATACTGATCATATCTGAAGAGCTCTGCTGCAACTGCATGATGCATTCAGACTAAAACAACGTTGAATTGACATTTCGCAGACCGTCCTATTCTTCACATCCGCATAGAGAATACAAATATTATAATAAAACTATAAAAACGAGACTTTACCTTCCGTGTAACGAGCGCTGGGATGACAGCGGTGTAAACAAACGCATGCGCATAACCCTACGGTGTGCGAAAGGTGTCAAACGTCTTCGCTGGTATTCTCGAACGAAACTTACGTTCACAACGCCTGAAGCAGGAGATCACACTGAAGCGTGTTACGGTAGTTTCCTTACGCTGTTTGCGTAAGCCTTATTTCACTCTCGCGGAACTGCTGTACCTGTTATAGAGAAGCAGGAGCATGTTCTACTCTGAATTAATTGATTAATGAGTTAGTGAATGAATAAAGATGGAGGATGATGCACCTGTTATTTACGGCCTGGAGTTTCAGGTATTGTTACTGTACCTTTTCAGTTTTTGTGCACAACAGTCTCGATAAACGAGCTCTTTTACAGTAAACTGGTACCTGTGCGTTCACTGTTGGGATATTTACATGTTAAATATCAGATAAAAACTAAGGTTTTGTATTAAACGTAACAAATGGAGATATATGTTCCGTTTCAAACGTCTGTCACAATGTATAACATATGCATACAGTATGTAATAAGTGTAGAATCAGATGGTAATACCATAGCACTTCAGTGTAGCTACTATGATAGGCATATTTCATTTGCCATGGCAATAATAAAATACATTTATTTTTACATTTACCAAACAAAAAAAAAAAGTAAATGTTAAATATTTATATTTGCTAAAAAAAAGTTCTAAGGATGTATCGCATGGTTTTGCTACATTTTTGTACTTATATATATATATATATATATACAATAAATGATTTAAATGATCAGTTTATTACTTAATATTACTTATTATTTATCAGATTACTGATAAACTAATGTAGATTGATTTGTATTAGTTATCTATTTTAGTTTTAGTTACAGTTGTAGTAATGTTTTTTATTATGTCTATATAGGTGTTTTATTAAGTTTTAGTTTTATTTCATTTGAGTTATTTGAGTACTTCAACATACAAAATGGAAATAAAATAATATATATATATATATACAGTGGGTACGGAAAGTATTCAGACCCCCTTAAACGATTTTGAAGTAGAAAAACTAAAATAGTATTTTATTGTAAAACACTCCAATAGTCTGTTTTTTTAATAGTGCTACTTTTTTTTATAGTGTGTATAACAATGCAAATGAGACCTTGTCTAACTAAATATGCACTAATATGCATTCATTTAAGCAGACATCTGAACATTGGATGAAACCAGTTTCTAATCATCCTTTAATTTTGTTGACAATTTTCACAGAAGGGATTTTGGATTTTTCTTTCTATCACTCCATAAATCGGACAGAAAAACACTATTTTTAGAAATAAATATAAAGTCATGTAAACCAGGGAAATGATATATAAACAAACTCCTCTGTAAAAACCTTCAGAATATGGAGATGAATAAAACGGCTTGGTTTGGTGTATGCGAGTGCTGCTTGCATAAAGTGGAGATTTCTGACTCATTGTGAGAAATGCTTTAAAGATATGTATTGTTATTGAAATCTACAGATGCAAGTAGATAAAGTACAATAAAATAAACCCCTAAAAAGCAATGGCTTTGCTTGGAGCGTCTTGTCCTAAAAGATTATTTATCTAAGATCAAGATTAAAAGACCAAATGTATTTCAATTTTGCTTCTCCAAGTGAATTGATCTTGTTTTAAGGCTGTTTAGATGTTTTTAGGCACAGAGTGGGATTTTGTGAAGAGCACACAACAACTCCATTATGCACATAATGACAGCACTTACAGTAGAATATTACCCACAGTGCGCATGAAGTCCCTCAGTAAAATAATAACTTTCAAATGTGCCGTGCTTTGCGTATAACTTTTAGGCATCTAACATAAGTTCAAAAGATGCAGTCGCTTCAAAGTTGAAATAAAAGCTGGGAAATGAGTGTCAGGAGTGTGTGAAGTTAAAAAGCGTTTGAGATTTCATTTACTGTCGTAAATATCTGCGAGTGTAGTTCCAGCTCTTTGAACTGCCGTCAGGATGCTCTGCTTTTTTCTCTTCTGCAGATTCACATCATTGACTTTGATGATGAGAATAATATGATTAATAAGAGCGTTCTCCTGCACGATGCTGGTGAGATATGGCACATCGGCGGCAGTCCTGCAGACAAGGCAGTGCTGACCACCTGCTACAGCAAGAGTGAGTCTGTCTTTCTTATAGCACTTGTATATCATTGCTCTTTTGTTGATTTTGATTGCTTCCATTGCCCTCGTTTGTAAGTCGCTTTGGAGAAAAGTGTCTGTTAAATGACTAAATCTAAATCTAAATCTAATATCCTAATGATTTTTGGCATAAAAGAAAAATCGGTACTTTTGACCCATACAATGTATTGTTGGCTATTGCTACAAATATACTTATGACTGCATTTGTGATCCAGGGTCACATATGGTCATCTAAAATATGGTCATGCAGAATAAGGCATTAATATGGCTTTATAAGTACTAATAATCAGCCAATATGCCAGAAATATGCATGCTAATAAGCAACTATGTAGTAGTTATATAATTTGGCTGTCTGCTGTTTAGAACAGAATTTGTATTTTGAGTATTATAATGTTGTGCAGGTAGGGTTTGCGACAGAATCTTAGTCTTAAAATAGTCAATTTCTCAATAGGTTGTGTGCATAATGTTTATTAATCTTATGATTCCACTGCTGTCTTCCACTAGTACAAGGTTTTGTACTTGCATTCGGTGTACTTCTAACCTCATGAGTGAAACCTCACAAAAGACTTTCTACTTTGTATGTGGTTCTATGTGCTGTGAGTTCACTAGCAGGCTGTTAAAGCAATATATGACACATTCTTGCACTCGCCTAGAGGCAATTAAAAAATGTACACAAACATGAAGAAGCAATTGAAAGTGGAAATTTTAATTAAATCCCATGTTTATAAGACCGACGCCTGTGGCTGGTTGCTGACAGTTCACATAGAGGGGAACATTTCTTTTCTGAGTGAAAACTAGGATATGGCTTTTTTTTTCATTTCTCCTTCCATCTTCATTATGATGAGGCCAATGTGCAAGATGTCATGGTGGAGTTCAAAAGAGGAATGTAATTACCGTGACATTCAAGCTAATGGAGTAGCCAGGCGGCACTGAGTCTGCCTCCATCATCACCCCCACCCACACTCAATGATCTGATCTGAGAACAGCTCTTATTCTGACACTGCTGTACGCTTGTGCTCCACTACACTGCCACAGCCATTTCAACAGCTTTAGCAGCAGAAAAGAACTGCAGTATGAAATCTACCAATTCATAGCTCAGTCAATGATACATAATCAAACTGAAGTCTACAGTGGTGGCCAAAATGATTAGAACACTAGTATTTTCAGCAGTTAAAAAATGGTTTTAAATGGCACTGGCTGTCATCAGACAAAAATCTCACTGGATTATTACAATTAATGGCAAAATGAATTTTTGAAAATGTAAACTGATATTTCCTTCTGACACACTACAGCAAACAATACATATAACTGACTTAAAACCATTTTTTAAGCTGGTGAAAATACTAGTGTTCTAATCATTTTGGCCACCACTGTGTATGAGCAGATTTACAGTTGAACTGATTTTGTCTAAAACGTACGCTAAATGAGCTGTTGTGTAAAAGCAGTATCAGACTCGTAATTGTGCTGTTACTCTGAATATCAGCACGGCTGTAATTACCTGTGGCCTTCAGATGAATCGCAACCTTTATTCCAGTTATTATGATTAAAGGGTTCCTATTAAGCTTTTTCACATTTTTAACTGTAGTTAATGTGTAATGTTGCTGTTTGAGATGAAAAAATCAGCAAGTTTACAAAGCACGAAGTCCACTTTAAAAGGAGATAGGCTTTCTCTTTAACAGAAAACACTCTTCAATAACTACAACGAACGACTTCCACTCCGGTTCAAAAACCCCTGTTTTTGTGCTTGCAAAGGTTCTGCACGATCCTCTTGTTCGCAAACATTCTCAGGGTCTGAATCGGCCGAAACGGACACCATTGTTAATATTTACAGCTGAGCAGATGAAACTCGCGGTTATGGGAAGGTGCGTGTCATTTCCGGAACATGCACTAAGCGGTTCGCCAATCACAGCGCACTGGGCCAGCTAACCAATCAGAGCACATTTAGTAATTCAATAATGTAAAATAAGTGAAAAATAATGTGTATCAAGGATGAAAACCTATTCTAGTACACCAAAGGGCATAATAGGACCCCTTCAATAAATGTAGCTTTTTTTAAAATCATATAACGGTTACAGACATGTTGCATAGCATGTTCATGAATTTGAGGGCGGAGCTAATAAGATAGGGGTGTGATCCTTTTGGGTAGGGGCGTGTTTGTTTTGGTGATTTGGTGATTCAAATTTCTTAGAAATCGCTTGCTGCACCTTTACGCAGAAAATATATTAATGATAGCTGATGCGGCCATTAGCACTGCTCAGCGTTTACTATAAGATGCACTACAAAAAATATGTGTAATTTGTACTGTACAACACTGTAAATATACTACAGTAAAACTGTAAATTACCATACCATATATATATATTGAAGAAAATGTAAATGGTTTTAACATCGAGTTACTGTATGCAATTTTATTGTAAATTTATATTTCTTGTAAGTAAACATTACTATAAATTACAGTGAAAACAAGTAAAAGGACTTTCCCAGAGTTCCATGCGAAACATCTGATATGATTCTATTTTATTTGAATTGTTTTATTTCTTCTCATATTTGTTATCAGTAATGTACATTTTATTAGATTTAGGGGGCAATTACTTTTTCACGTAGGGCCAGGCAGGTTTGGACAGCTTTTTTCCCTTAATAAAATAAATAATCATTTAAAAACTGCATTTTGTATTTACTTGCATTATCTTTGTGTAATATAAAAATTTGTTTGATGATCTGAATCTTTTAAGTGTGACAAATATGCAAAAAATTTAAAAAACAGGAAGGGGGCCAACACTTTTTCACACCACTGTAACTGACTTAAAACCATTTTTTAAGCTGGTGAAAATACTAGTGTTCTAATCATTTTGGCCACCACTGTGTATGAGCAGATTTACAGTTGAACTGATTTTGTCTAAAACGTACGCTAAATGAGCT